GGCTTATCACCCCCACCCTAGCCTGATAATCCTGACCTTGTGAGTACAGCACACCTGTGAATTACTCATTATCCCTGGTCCTCCAAATCTCAAGACCAAGATTTGGCTGCATTGCTCAATATATCTGTGACTTTGAATTACTCAACCCTCCACCTGTAAAATGAAGATGATATATCCCTAACAGGGTTGATCTAAACGTTAAATGAAAAAATGTATATATGCCTAACACTGCTGACACTCCATAGGTTCTCAATAATACAGCAGCTTATTACTTTGAAATAACATTTAAAAGAGCCAAGCACTTTGTATATTTTTAAAACTATACAAATGTACAATCTATTAGATTAAATGATTATTAGATATGAGTTAAAATTGTAAATGCTTAAAATATACCCAATTCTCACCTCTCCAGCAAATCCTTAAGAGAACATTGTTTTTCCTAACACCTGTACCCAAAATGCATCTGATTCACATCTTACCCTAACCCCCATAACTCATTACATGGGCTCAAAATTCAAATCTGTCTCGACATCCATCCAAAAACCACATGGTGAGAAAGATGACTATGACTCAAAATAAATTACCATTTAAATTTCAAATGCTGAAATTTAAATAACCTAAATCACAACATCCTTTCTTTGATTATAACAAAACACACACACACACACACAAAGGTTTATTAACTGTTACTTCAAATCCTCAAATCTACCAGCAATATTGACTAATTAAAAAAGCCATCCTGAAAAATCACATTTGTATTTTTATAAGTAGTAAAGAATGACAGAGTAAAATAATGGTGAAAACTATGCCAAGGTTAGAAGCCTATTTCTACCCTTCACCTTCATGCTCAAGAATCCTAGAACTGGGCTTCCCTGGTGGCGCAGTGGTTGAGAGTCCGCCTGCCAATGCAGGGGACATGGGTTCGTGCCCCAGTCCGGGAAGATCCCGCGTGCCGCAGAGCGGCTGGGCCTGTGAGCCATGGTCTCGGAGCCTGTGCTCCGCAACGGGAGAGGCCACGGCAGTGGGAAGCCCGCGTACCGCAAAAAAAAAAAAAAAAAAAAGAATCCTATAACTAACTCTACACTGTGAAATTTGAGTCTGTCCCCAGCCAGAGTAGCAGACTTAATGCACCATTAATCTGGTCTGTTCTCAGCCGCCAATTGAAATAGTCACAGTCATTTGATTTTTAAGGAAAAGACAGTACTGCAGAAGTACATTCCAGAGGTCTTTTCATAAAAACCATCCCGTGTGCTCCATCTGCACATGCAATCTGCTTGTGTATTTTCAGCCAGCTTGCTTGGGCAGATTAATGCGTACAATTAGAAAGCAACCCCACAGGCATTCAATAAACTGCTTTCACTATTACACTCAGGAGAGTCCCTCTGGATGTCAATAAAAGCCTAGTTTTCTGCCTGTTAGCTAAATAATTGACAACACTAAAAATAATCAGAAGCAAATGAATGAAGTCAGGAACAAGGTGGTAAGAAAGAATACATTAAGATTCTCATGGTGGTGCCCCAGGATGATATCATGAGCTTTTTCTCCAGCAACTTGGATTTACAGTCTGCTCAAGTCCATGGTTGCCCTTCTCTACAGAAAACAAAACAAAACAAAGACCACCACTCCTAGTCTGCTATTTGAAACACACATATCACAGCATTGAAAGAATTCCTCATTTGTGTTTCTATTCTGTGATCCTTAGTTTGACAGCTTCAGGAGAATCTAATTTTTTGGTGAAGGGGATGGAATAGGGAACAGCCAGGTTGGTCTAGTGAAAACTCTGTGCTGTTAAAATTCTAAGAGCTCTCGGACCGCCCTGGTGGCACAGTGGTTAAGAATCTGCCTGCTAATGCAGGGGACACGGGTTTGAGCCCTGGTCCAGGAAGATCCCACATGCTGCGGAGCAACTAAGCCCATGAGCCACAACTACTGAGCCTGCACTCTAGAGCCCGCGAGCCACAACTACTGAGCCCGCGAGCCTAGAACCCATGCTCCACAACAAGAGAAGCCACCACAATGAGAAGCCCGCACACCGCAATGAAGAGTATAGCTCCTGCTCACTGCAACTAGGGAAAGCCTGCACGCAGCAACAGAGACCCAACGCAGCCAAAAATAAATAAATAAATAAAAATTAAGTGTTAAACAGCAGAAACTAACACCATTGTAAAGCAATTATACTCCAATAAAGATGTTAAAAAAAATTTCTAATAGCTCTCCTATACAATTCTTCCACCATAAATTGATTCTAAGAAAATATGATAAAGGCTTGTTATAAGGATCCATCTTATACAAGAAGTTTCTTTCATATTTCTAGCTATATAATGGTCATTTATTTCATTAGCTATTGGTCTTTTAATATCAAAAGTACTTCAAAACAAAATACATTTAAAAAACACACACATATACTTCTTCTTGTGTTTCTCAATAGCCTTTAACAATCAATTTGAGATACTTCTCATTTTTAGCCAACTTCTCTTTTTCTTGGTTAACTGGGACTTTTATGATAAGCAGAAGAAAGATCAAGAGTGAAATGTGCGTGTAATTGAATTCAGCTCCACTGATAGTGTGTGAGGTGCCTGAGGGTAGAACTCTTCTTTCTTTACAGAAAAAGGATGATCTCTAGTATTCAGTAAAACACAAACTCAAAAAGCTGGAGGACTAGAAAAAAAAAAGGTTTGATGACACAATCTCCCACATCCTTTAAAACTCCAAGAAGCTCTCATCCTTCACTTTATCATGTTTAAAACTCCCCAGAGGATGGACTTGTTCCACTTCCCAGTTCTGTACCTGAGACCCCTCATTGGTAAGCAGGTCTTCCCTTTTCCAGTGTAAACAAGGATGCCACAAGATAAATACATTTGTTCTGATTGTGTCTCCAGACTACAAATGCCCCCATGGCATCTGGGGGCATTCAACTCCTCTGATTGGCCGAGAAGTCAACTCTCATCCATTCTCTACCAAAGAAGGGTGAGGCAATAATACCTTAACCCTTAATCTATTGCCTGCCGCCCTGTATCTCTCTCTAAGACAGCCAACTTCTCCTGGTGTTTAGCTTCACACCAGCTTCCTTACCCCCATGTCTGCCTTAGAACAAAAGTGGGGAAAGATAACATCATTCATTAGCATTTCCACCCAACCCCATTCTATCTCCCACTCTTTTCCTGGTCTGGGTAGTGGAGGCCAGGTACCCAACTTGCTAATGGGCAAAGTGAAGTGCTGAGAAACTTCTTTTACATTCCAACCTCTGAGTCTTAAAGCAAGGAGCTGTTGCTTACAGTAGAGGCAGGAGAATCTCAGCAGAATGAGAAAACCAGAGGATGCTGTACTTGGAGGAGGGACACACTTTAGGGTGTCACATATGCTCACCCCAACATTAAAATGATCTTAAATTCTACAAATGAGGTGTAACAACGGGAATAGATAAGAGGAGGCAGTCAGTACAGTCCATCAGAAAGTGGGAGACCAATGACTAGTTCTGGTGGAACCAGAAATCTCTAAACAGTCTAGAAAATAAGCTGTCCGATCCCATTCAACAAGAACCTCTGTAAGAAGTTACATATCAAGTCCCCATGAAATTCAGTCACTTATATACCATTTTTTTAAATAAATTTTTTATAAGATTTTTTTTTTTTTTTTTTTTTTGGTACACAGGCCTCTCACCGCTGTGGCCTCTCCCGTTGCGGAGCACAGGCTCCGGACGCGCAGGCCCAGCAGCCATGGGTCACGGGCCCAGCCGCTCCGCGGCATGCGGGACCCTCCCGGACCGGGGCACAAACCCGTGTCCCCTGCATCGGCAGGCGGACTCCCAACCACTGCGCCACCAGGGAAGCCCTTTATAAGATTTTTAAAATAAATTTATTTATTTTATTTATATTTATTTTTGGCTGCGTTGGGTCTTCGTTGCGGTACATGGGCTTCTCATGGTAGTGGCTTCTCTTGTTGCAGAGCACGGGCTCTAGGGCCGCAGGCTTCAGTAGTTGCGGCATGCGGGCTCAGTAATCGTGGCTCGCGGGCTCTAGAGCACAGGCTCAGTAGTTGTGGCGCACAGGCTTAGTTGCTCCACGGCATGTGGTATCTTCCCGGACCAGGGCTCAAACCCATGTACCCTGCATTGGCAGGTGGATTCTTAACCACTGCACCACCAGGGAAGCCCTATATAAGATACTTTATTTAATCCTTACAAATGGCCGATGGGAGAGATATTACCAACCCTAATTTTTTTTTAGAAAAACTAAGCTTTAAAGAGGTTTAGTAGTTTGTCCAATGTCACAGCTGGAGAGTGGAGCTAGGATTTTGAACCCAAATCTGCTTGGTTTTAATTCTACCATATTTGGAATCAACCTAGGGAAAGAAATATGGTTCTTTGGCTTTGTCTATTCTTTCAAGCAGTGTGCAAGTAACCTAGCTACTTAGAGCTGAACACAAACTTATCTTTAAAGCTTGTATAAGAGAGTAGATTATCTACATTATAAAGCACATAGTAGTTGCCCTATACATGTTAGCTGCTGTAATTCACAAGTCATACTGGAAAAAGTACCTTGATGTATGACCACCAATTGGGAGCTGTGCTGATAATTGTGAAATTATTTCTCAATTCTTGTTTACAATAATATAAGTCCTCAGTCCATTAGGTAAATCCCTAGTTAGTTTAGATTCTGCTTGCGTACTTCTTTCAAACAACATCTTCCTTATATTGGTGTTTTGGAAGTCTTCATAATCAAAAGTAACCTGGATCACCAAAAAGCAAGCCCTCCAAGTTATTTAGAATGGGGAATTTCTCAAATTTGGCAGTATTCTTTCTAATCTGTTGACTATTAAAGAATACTTTAATGAGTATAGATATCTCCAAACTTAGAACCTCACTTCTAGAGTTCAATTACATAATTAATAGTCAACAATCCAACACCAGATGTTTTGAATAGTTACTATCACCTAGAATTTAAAAGCACAATGAATAATATGTCTATAAAAGGTACAAAGTTCTGAAAATATAAACTTACCATTGCTGATGTTCTCTAAAAGCTTCTCTTCTGAGGTTTTCTTGAAGTCTCTCTTTCTCCTCTAGTTTATTGCTCTGAAATTTCAAGTATCAAAATGTAATCTATTAGGAAAGCTTTAAGCAGAATCATGATGTTAAAGTTACCCAAGGTCCAAAACCTTTAGGCTCAAGTGGCCTCAGTAGTCCAATGTGGTACCTATCAGGGCTTCCAAGGTGATAACCGTCTCACAACCCATGTGCCCTACACTGAAAGCCAGGGGCTCCAAGTTCTTTCCATGGCTCCCCTCTCCCAACTTGATTGGTATAATCACAGAATCAGTATTTCACATTTTTACCTTAGCTCAGATGATAGCAACATTTATATCTTAAGCAGTGTTTTCAAAATGTTCTAAGGAAAACATGAAATTTCCACACCAATCATGTTAAATTAAAATTATAATAATAATTTTAAATAAAATTATAAATAATGAAATAAAATTATAATAAATGATTAAATAGATGATACAAAATATGTATATATATATATATATAAATGGTTAAATAGTTGATACTACATATATATCTCCACATTACAATAAAGCATTCAGGAAAAGATTTTCAATAAGCCAATTCAATTCCCTTCTGACTTAGAATGAGATACTTAAAGCTGTTGAGAGACTGAACAGCAAATGTCCAAAAAACGCCATCTACTTGAATAGAAGAATCCTCTCATTTTTTAAATTAGTTGTTTGGAGAGTCTAAAGAACTTCACATTTGATATTACTGTCACCATGGCTCTGGCATATTTTAATCCAACTTAATAACCCAGAAACACTTGTGTTTTTTTTACTATGATACAACTTGCATTTTTTTTAATTTGCCTATGAAAAACAAGTAGACTTCCTAGACAACAAATTTAATGGGGAGTTGAAACAAGTTCTACAACACAGGAGACACTTGAAGTTTTCATTGAATCCAAGGGAGAAGTCAAGCAGCTGGATTATTTGCTTTAAAAAAAAAAAATGGACTTGTCCCTTAGGAAGACCTGTGAAAAGGGAAATAATAGAAATCGTCACTTCCAAACTCTAACGTAAGTTTAGCTCCATCTTCCAAAGAGAGGAAAAAACTGTTCATATTGTTCATTTCCATGAAAGTCTTCATTCACACAGAACTATTTACTCATCCCATTTTGAAAGGTAAAATGGATGATTTCAGTTTCAGAAAAAACATAAAGGAAATTTACTACAATCCAAAGAGAATTGTAATACAATTCAATTGTAATTCAATTATAATACAAGGCAATTGGATTATTAATGAATCACAGTTGTAAGAAGCAAACTAACAGAAAGTTGTACAACTGAACAAACATGATCTCAATCTAGGAAAAAATCCTGACTCATGAGACCAAAAGTAGTCAATTGTGATGAGTTCCCCACATCTCTGGGGGAAGAAAAGGGGGCCGGGAGGTAAAAGACAGCAGGCAAGCAAGCAGAAGGTATTGATTAAACCAGGATTAGGAATGCTACTTAGAGAACAGTGAGAAAATCACACAAGCATTTAGAGACCAGGGCTGGGTTCCTTTAGCAAGGTCAGAAATTGGAACATGGATTTTCATCTCTTCACTAATAGATCATCATTGGCCTCAACTTACAAAAAAGTTACTCAGTAGCTAAATTCTATCCAACAAAGGTCTGTTTATCCCTCAAGAGTTGATGGAGAAGTATTTTGCAAAATACTGGAGTATTTAAGTATTCCATACCTACCACTGTGGTAGCTGTTTTAATACACTAATCCAAATACTTAGATTTAGTCAGACTACTTCTTTCTTTCCATTTAACAGTGAGTTAAGGAATCACCCAACCATACTTATACAAATACATAATATAAAAGATCTAAGAACATGAGGTCCAGAAAAAAAAATATGGAATGAATTCTAGGTCCACCATCACTGAGTGACCCTAAACAAATCATTTAATATCACTGAATCTCACGTATTCGACAAACATTTATCAAATGCCTATTATATGCTCAGTACTATGTTCTGTTAGATGCTGGGAATAAAAGCAGAGCAGTGCCTACTCTGGAAAATTTCAGAAGCTAGCTGGGAACACAGACAAGAAAGCCATGATGGCAGTGTGTAAAATATATTAGGGAATAGAGGTTTGCAAGTATATAATATGAATACAAAGAAAAAGCACAGAAGTGGGCAATGGGGAAATGCTTTCAACAGTTCCACAGACATTCATTCAGTGCCTTCTGTGTGGGGAGACCCCATCCTGGGTTAGGGTTAGGGTTAGGGTTAAGGTTAGCCAAAATTTGAATAACATTTGGAATATGGCTTCTAACCTCGGGTTCATGAATAAACTGTCTGATAGGAGTATGCTCATTTTTATGGAGCGTGAGTCCATAGCTTTCTTCAGATTTCCCTAGGGGCTGATGACCAAATAAAAGGATAAGAACCATGGGTCTAATGAGAGGTAGAAATTCTAGATAGAGACCGATCTTAAGCAAGAACTTTCCAGGAGGAAAAGGAGGTGATGGGAGCAAGGCTACTGCACTCCACTGTATGGTTTCTTACTGCCCAGAGGCCTAGCAGAGAGGTTAAAAAGGCTGAAATAGAGGCAGCATTCAGCTTACCAAGGCTTGCATCCCAGCATGGGGTGTTTCATCACAGCAGAGGTGTCTTCTTCTATTTCTCACAAAAGTACCATCTGTCACCAATCTGAGCACCCACAGAACTGACTGCCTGGATTAAGAATCTGTTTCTAATTTGCACAAAGGCAATGATGGGATAGTAGTGGCCCTGAATAGGAAAAGGGCATTCCTATAACATACAATATTTTCAATAGAGAAAGGCACAAGAGAATATGCCAGTTCAGGAAACCCCAAGAAGCTTGTGGATAAATTCAAAGAGGTATGTAGGGAGATGCGTGGAGGACAAGGTTGAGAAAGTAGGAAGAGGCAATTATAAAGAAATTCATATGCCGAGTAAAGGAGTTTGGACTTCATTAAAGGCAATGATGAGCCATTCTGTTATTTTAAGCAGGATAGTAAGCTGCTCACCCTGAAAGCAACACGAAGGAGAAGCCGCAGAAAGGACCACAAATATAAAAGCCAATGGTGTGCTTCTCACGGTAATCCAGGCCATAAATTATGAGTCCCAAATTAAGACAACAGGGACAGAAAAGAAAGGACAAATTCTAGAACAACGTGGGGGACAGAAATAAGAGAGTAAAAAGAAATAGTAGGAGGTAGGCTATATTAATATAGAATGAGTCAAAAAAGGGGGGAAGATTACTGGTGACTATCATTTAAGAGCATCAGAATGAATATGAGGTCAGTTTTGAACCTACTGGATTTGAGATACACTGTGGCACACCTAGAAAGGATTATCAAGCATACAGTAAAATATATGGTTCTGGGATTCAAGAATATGGTCTGGAGATGTGGATTTCAGAAATCATCAGCACAAGCAAAATCCACAGACGTGGAAATGCGGGGGCTTTCACCTAAGAATATGGTGGCATAGGCACAGGGAAATGAGAGAAGATGAATGGATGGGACCTGGATAGAACATCAATAGCAGAAAAACAAGCAGAGGAAAAGGATCCGGACGAAATCCAGAGGGGTAGAATTTGAAGGACAAAATACTATTTAAATAGTTACAATATTGCAAACAGTTTAGATAAGTTAGGAACTGAAGAGTCTCCACTGGGTTTTTCAACTAAGAGCTCATTAGGGATTCTTGGCTAGATAAATACCAGTGAATTACTAGAGACAGAAGCAAAATTAAGCCCACCAAGAAACACGTGAAGGGAGGACGCAAAGAAGGTAAGTTTCTAAGCTAGCTGAGCTCAGCATCACCTGGGGAACTTTGTTTAAAACAGAGATTTGTTTGTTTGTTTGTTTTGTTTTTGGTTCAGGTGATTGATAAGGTGTCAGTCTACATACTGGCATGTAGGAACCCAATGTGGTAGAAAAGGCTTTCAAGAAGCTGAGCTGTGATGCTTGGGAGGGAGGAGTTGAAAGCAAACCAGAACAGAGACACTTTGTTTTTAAGATGAGAGGTTTCAGTATGATTATACCCTAAGAGAGAAAAACAGAAACGACAAGAAAGCTACAGGAGAGGACTTCCCTGGTGGTGCAGTGGTTGAGAGTCCACCTGCCGATGCAGGGGACACGGGTTCGTGCCCCGGTCCGGGAAGATCCCACATGGCCCGTGAGCCATGGCCGCTGAGCCTGCGCGTCCGGAGCCTGTGCTCCGCAGCGGGAGAGACCACAACAGTGAGAGGCCCGCGTACCACAAAAAAAAGAAAGCTACAGGAGAAAAGGAGGGTTAACGGATGGAGCAGCAATGTTCCCGGGGAGATGGAGGAAAGATGGGATGGGAAGCACGGGTGGGAGAATCCATCATAGCAAGAAGGAAGAGCACTTTCTTATTGCTGCTGAGATGAGACGGAGGCAGAAACAGCAAAGGAAGAGTAAGGAAACAGAAAAATATAGGTACTTCCAGCCTTGTGGTCTTTATTCACTAGAAGGTGGGAAATGAGGTCATGTGCTGAAAACGAAAGGTGACAATAAGAAGCATGTGAAAGGAGGAAGATGTCGGTAATTAGAGATGAGCCTAGACTGCAAAGGAAAGTGCTGTGCACTAGGAATTGTTAAAGACCCAGCCGGGAGGGAAGCCCAGCAATTTCGTGTGACAGGAAGAGCCAGTGTGTTTTTTCTCCAGCAACCCAGTTCATGTGGGTTTATTTTATTTAGAAATAAATTAAACCAATCCAATTCGTGTGTAAAATAAAAATCCTCTCTGCCTTCCACACAAGAGGTTGATATAACAGTAGAGTCGAATGAATTAGGGCACTTCTTCACATGTATAATTAGGTCAGGGCACCCTTCTTCACTGCTTACTGAGCGCTACCCATTGTACCAAGAGATTTGCACCTATTGTATCCTTTAATCCCACCAGTCCCATTATTATATTATTATACCCATTTTACAGCTAAGGAAAGTGAAACATAAAGAAGCTTACCCTTATTTTTTTTGTTGTTGTTGTTGTTTTTTTTTTGTGGTTCGCGGGCCTCTCACTGTTGTGG